TAGAATGCTAAGGTGGCCCCAAAGACAGTACCAAAGAAAAACATGTCAAGAAGTTAAAACAGTAAGTTGGGGCGAGCTGGTGGTGTGGTGGCTAAAGCAGCTGGATCCCACATGGCCAACTATGTGGTCCAGGTCTCGGATCTGGTGACTTGTAAAACATACCACATGCATGTGCATGCATGCTCAAAATCCAAAAGAGGAGAGACATGGAGGAGAAGGAATTATAGCATGAGCATTCCCACGGGGACGGGGTGCTTTCTCACTTTCACTGTCTCTCTGTCTAGTGCACATGCGCTTTGTTAAAACAAAACAAAACAAAACAAAAGGAAAAAAGGAAACTGACAGATAGCATCATATGTTTTTATTGTGCCCAAAATGTTTTGAGGTATAGACACATTATAAAAAGATTAAATCTAGCTCATTAAGAACCACATTACCTTATGCAATTTGTATTATGTATATGTGTGTATATATATATATATATATATATTTCAGGTTTTTGCCATAGGGCAAGATTTTGGGCAAGCATGTACACGCACCTGGCCTGATTTTCAAGCTGCCAGGCTTGGAACTTGAACTGCAGTCAGTCGTGTGAGAGTCCAGTGCCTTAACCACCATACCATCTGCTAGCCCCTTAGTTACCTTTTCATGATGAAAGCACTTAAAATATCTACTCTTCGTTACATTTGAAAAGAATCATTAATAACTAATTAATCTCTTAAAACGTATTTCTCCCACGTAACTGTAATTATGTGTACTTGGACCAGCATCTCTCTCTGTGCCTCAACCACTCCAGCCCCTCGTAAGCACCCTTCTACTTTCTACCTCAACTTGAATCAATTTGTCTTCCTGTGCCTGCCTTATTTCACTTAACATAATGTCCTCCAGGTCCATGCATGTTGTCACAAATGTCAGGATTCCGTTTTTTATGGCTGAAGAGTATTCCACGGAATTATTTTATTTAACATTTATTTATTTGTTTGTTTTTAATTTGACCAGAGAGGGTGAGAGAGAGAGAGACAGAGAGAGAGAAAGCAAGCCACCAGGTCCAAGACTTGAACCATGGTTGGCCATATGGGAATCCAGAGTCCTTAACCACCACACCACCTGCCAGCCCCATATCTTAAAACATTATCTGTCAATTTAAATAAAAAATTTTAAAAGAAGACATAGCAATAAATATTTTAAAAAGAAGACATAGCAATATATATATATATTTAATGACAGTGTGTAAGCACATACACAAAAGAGCAGGTTTGACAATCCCTTTTCCCCAGCCCTCCAGCTCTGTAGAGTCCAGGGTGCCCATGCTTACACCTAGTGTGTTTTTATATCAACCCAGGCATCTGAACCCATGGTCAGCCATGTGGCTTCCAGCTTTGAAGGGTGCTATGTTTTCACTACACCACATAGAAATCCTAAAACAAAACAAACAAACAAACAAACAAAAAAAAACGGGCAGATTTACTCCCTTTCTGTGTTCTGCCTACTCATGGGTCTACCTAGCTATTCTATTGGGTCATTGGAAAAGCCACGACACATCTTTGCATAGAAAAACACAGAAAAATGCATCATTACTTTTCTGATGACCCAATACTTTGGATCTTTTCAAATCTTTAGCTTCTAGCACATGTCACTCAGAGTGGATTTTCAGGAGGAAAAAAAAATTAGTAGACATCTTAATTTGTTCTTAAAAATCTTGAAAGGACCCTAAACTTACATGTTTATTTGCTAGTCAGATACTCTCAGCATTGAAGTGCAGGCACACGGCTCTAGAGGGTGGCCTCTCCTCTTCCTGGGGCATTCAGATTCTCTGGCAGGTAAGGCGCACGCTCTTGTGAGGAACAGGCACAGCTGAACTTAGCAAAGGCTCATTACTGACCCACCTGACTGACCATGAAGTTCCTCATGCGGAGAAGGCCCTCTTACGCTCTCCTCTCTAACCCGTCTCCACCAGTTTCCCAGGGGCTCCTCGGATCTGGCTACTGTATCCACCAGCCAACTGAGAGACCCTTTGCCCACCTGCCTGTCAGGATCACATGCCCCCTTCAGTTCCCAGGTCAAGGGCTGCCTCCTCCGCAAACCTCTCCGACTACCCCCTGATTCTCCCTGCATCTCCTCCTCTGCTCTCTTGTTGCTATTTAATTTATATGCCTTTCCTATAGTTCTCCTCTAATTCTATTCATGCTAATTAACTGTGAACATAGTTCATTTTCCCTAATAGATTATAAACTCCTTGGAGACAGATACTGTATTAAATTCAACCCTGTGGTTTCCTTCCTCCCTTTCATGTCTAGCCAGGGGTTTAGCTTTAAACATAGTAGGAGTACAATAAATAATTGTTAAGATGAAATCTATGTTGGTTTCTTAGCAAACAGGGTATTTGTAAAACAGATCAAAAGCTCTCTAACAGAGGAGAGTCCTCGTTCCTTGCGGATCCTCAGCAAAGCTTCAGGAATATGGGGCCCTGTCCCTCCCCTGTATCCGCAGGGTAAGACCAGCCAAGCCCGGCCAGCACAGATGTATAAGGAAGGGAGAGCAGCCTGACCAGCCAGCGGTTCTGAGTTGGTTACTTACAGAGGCTAAAATTACATAAGCAAAGGCAACAGCTCATGGCTATTATCTGTCCCCAAGGAAAGCCAAGGATTCAGCTTTCCCAACCTGTGGGTCAGGAAAGACAAGGAGGAGATGAAGGAAGAGGAAAGGGTGTTTTCCATACAGGGCAAGGGCACAAAGGGTGATGGCCAAGACCCTCTGGATTCCTGTCATGAGGAGACACCGCATCGTAATGGGATGTGAAGCCCGGACACTCCTTTCCAAACACGGGAAAGGTCTTTATGGGGCCAGAGGGGCTTTGAGCCCTGTTTGTACTTCGAGGTCAGCCTGGAGCCATGGGATCTGGGAGTGGGGTTGGGAGTGTGCAGAAAGAAGGCAAAAGAGGATTGCCATGAACATCAACCAGGGTGGTAAGGGGGTGTGGGCTGTGCGAGAGTCACTCCAGAACGTGTCACAGGAAAGCTCTGC